CGATAGCTGGTTAATCTAGACTAAAATAATTCTCGATCGTTTAAACACGGTTTTGTCTTTTCAGAAATTAGTACTCAATGGAACAGCTTTTGCCGTTTGTCAATTGCCGACTACATACTGCACTGTAAACAAATAAATTTATTTGAGTTAGGGAACAGTACTCGTACACTCGTAAACGTTTTGATGGCAATAATTTTCTGCTTTCGCGACGATCGCGCGCGAAGCACATGAAAAGTGAGAAATGTCAATCATATTTTTCGCGCCAAAAATTTACGCTGTGATTCACATTCCTGCAAGTGAAACAAGTCGACCTCTCGCGGCTTACGTCGCTCGCGCTCGCCCTCGCGACTTCGTCGCTCGAAGATTACCCTCTNTTTTCGCGCCAAAAATTTACGCTGTGATTCACATTCCTGCAAGTGAAACAAGTCGACCTCTCGCGGCTTACGTCGCTCGCGCTCGCCCTCGCGACTTCGTCGCTCGAAGATTACCCTCTCGCCGTCTCGAGGGAGATAAATAAGTCAAGGATTAAGAAAAGGTCGACTTGTGGCAAGTCTAGATTTTATATTGACAATTGAAAACACCGACTCGGACTTGAAAGTGCACGCGCTGCATTAGGCAAATTTGTTACTTGCACGCGTCAGATTTATTTTCCATTCAAAAGCTTCTGCAAACTAGCAAACGAGCAGAAACAATAAGAAACTATCGAAACAGATTTTGGTTATGATTAAACATTGTTCTGAGAAATAACTCGATACCAGAGTAGAGAGTTTTCTTGCATAAACTTTATTCTTAAGTCAAAAGCCTGAAAAGCTTACGCGTACAACTAGCGCGAGCAGATCTTACTCATTCACAGCGCGAAATTTGAAATCCTGTTTTCAACCCTGAAAAACTCACCTTTTCGCATTGCCTCAGAACCAAAAATGCGCCGAAAGAAGTTGGTAATTCATGTAGAAGGGAGTCTCGTGGAATTTCTCTAGAAATCTAAGTTTGAGTGCAAGTAAGCAGAATCTGCTCGTCTTAGTAGACCCCAGTCTACTGCATCACACCTTTTTGCTCGGACCCGTTCGTTTCACCGCCCCACGTATAAGCGCCCTGCCACTACACTACGGAAACGACGAATTAACCAGCTTCGGTCATTGTAGGAGATATTGGCAAATTACGCTTTATATACTTCGTTAAATTTATCAGTCGACCCCTACGTAGACCTTAAGGTCATTCCGCTAAAATAAAAGCTGCACTGAGATTTTTGTGAAACTTTACCTATCGATTGTTTATATTATAGGAACTTAAATTTTGAAATAAAAATGAGGGGTCCCCATGTTCGTTTAGGAGCAAAAGCACCCTGTTTTTATCCACATAAATCCTTATAATAGCACCATNAAACTTTATTCTTAAGTCAAAAGCCTGAAAAGCTTACGCGTACAACTAGCGCGAGCAGATCTTACTCATTATAATAATAAATAATAATAATAATAATAATAATAATAAGTAAATATTTATATAGCGCCTATCCATGCCTGCTGTAGGCGCTGTACAATTCGCCAAAATGATCTGTACTAATCTTAATCTTACTCCTTCACAGCGCGAAATTTGAAATCCTGTTTTCAACCCTGAAAAACTCACCTTTTCCCATTGCCTCAGAACCAAAAATGCGCCAAAAGAAGTTGCTCATTCATGTAGAAGGGAATCTCGTGGAATTTCTTTAGAAATCTAAGTTTGAGTGCAAGTAAGCGGAATCTGTTCGTCTTAGTAGACCCCAGTCTACTGCATCACACCTTTTTCCTCGGACCCGCCCGTTTCACCGCCCCACTTATAAGCGCCCTGCCACTACACTACGGAAACGACGATGAACCAGCTTCGGTCATTGTAGGAGATATTGGCACATTACGTTTTATATACTTCGTTAAATTTATCAGTCGACCCCTACGTAGACCTTAAGGTCATTCCGCTGATATAAAACCTGCACTGAGATTTTTGTGAAACTTTGCCTATCGATTGTTTATATTATAGGAACTTAAATTTTGAAATAAAAATGAGGGGTCCCCATGTTCGTTTAGGAGCAAAAGCACCCTGTTTATATCCATATAAATCCTTATAATAGCACCATGATTGTAGTCATGATTACTTGCTAAATTCACGTTTCCGACTATTGCCTTTTGTTCTACACTGAGAATTGGTCCATATTTAGTTTACACAGAGAAATTTATTACTCAATTCAAAAAAACAGAAAAAAATGATAGGTCATCATACTCGTTTGCGAGAAAATGACGATTTACCTCTATGGCGAGGTCC